CGACTTCCCGTGTCACCGCGCCTCGGGGCCCTTGCGCGCCCGCTGTTCTGGCGAGCCCAGCTCTCCCACAGACCATGTCTTCCCAACCCTGCTTGCCCTCCTCCACACATTTGGGGAGCCGGGCCGTCTCCAGACCCCAAAGGGTCAATATCGGAACCCCATATCACAGCATCTAATGCGAAGATCCCCAAAGGTTGTGAGTGAGGCCCTCCGCAGCCTCACCATGCGCTCCTGCCGCGCCCTACCCGTGGTCATTGCCCTGGAAAATCCCTCCGATTGCCGGCGAATTCCAGGGTGCATGGTGTTGCGCAGTCAGGCCAGCGGCATCATGGGCTCAGCCCAGTGAAAATGTCAAATGCGGTGCCCCTTATTCAAGTTACTGAGAATTTCAAGAGAGTAACACCAGAGCATCAAACCAAGTATAGGGCCGTGGGCACAGTGCACTATCCCTCAGCCCGACAGGTTTTTTTGGGTTTTTTTTTCCAGTGTTGGGGCAAATTCAGTTCCTTCACCTGCCCTTCCCTAGCACAGGAGTGGGTGGGGTCTGTGTGTGTGCACTTAAATTCATGGAAGCCACAAGGGTGCCTAGGTCATTCAGGGGGCCTCCGGAGTCCTGGACCGGGGGACCCAGCACACCGCCTAGGTGTGTGACCCTCGCCAAGTCAGTATCTCAAAGTCTATTTTCTCATCCGCAAAATGCGGATAACAATTGTACCTATCTCAGGGTTTTGTTTCGGATCAAAGGAAATAAAATATCCCTAACACAGCACTGAGCTCTCACAAGTGTTCAGTATTGGCCATTAACCTCCAGCGGGCCAATTCCTTCCCTTGCCCTGCCCCTCCTGGGACAGGAAATCGGCTCATGTTGTCCTTCAGGCCTGTGTGACTCTGCTTCTATATTTGCTCAGTTTGCCTCGCTCACTTTTCTTAACCTCCAAGGGTTCCTCCTCTTCCAGGAAGCCTTCCCTGACCCTCCCAGTTGAGTAAGGTGTCCCCTCCACTTCTACCCTTATGCCGCAGAAATCCATCTACGCACCGGTGCAGCAGTAGCGTGCTGTTCTATTCTGTTGTCTCTACCCTCCAGGATGTCACAAAGCCAGCCTGCTGGCCTGCTTCCCCACTTTGGACCGCTATGTCCAGTCTTTAACAAAGGAGCCAGAGTGATTATCTTACAAGTTGATGTCACGCTTCTTTTCAAATCCTTCCTGACATTCCCCACCCCAGAACAGAACCTCAAGTCCTTGGCTTGGCCAAAAGGCACTCTGGGACCCCCACCACCGCCCTAGTCACCGGCATCCTAGTAAATCTGCATCCACTCTGAGTCCACTCTTGCCTTACGGCCTTTGTGTTTTCCATGCCCTCTACCTAGAAGCCTCTTATCCCAGTAACACTCTCACTTCCTACACGTTTTCTCTCCCTTGAGGCTCATCAAAACCCCGAGATAGGTACAATTATGGTCCCCATTTTACGGATCAGAAAATTGACCCAGAGACAGGCTCTCCCTTAAGGCCTTCCTTAACAACCCCATCTAGAACACCTACAACTCCGCTTCAGCAGAGCTTCACTCCACATTATTTTCCTTCCAAACACTCTACTTTTACTACATGTATTGTGTTTCCCCTGTAGAGCATAAGAGCTTAAAAGCAGGGGTTTGTCCTTTGTTCCCTCCTGTGCCTGGAAAACAGCACCTGGTGCAGGGTAGGCACTCAAGGATTTACTGAAACAATGAGTAAATGTTTCCCTATATGTCTTGCCCCTAAACCGAGTTCCTTGAGTGTGGAACCAGCATCTTATTCTCTTTGTGGCCCCTGAGGTAAATGCTCAATAAATGTTTGTTGATGTAATCTGAGAAGGAAAGGAGAGCCCAGAATAAGCTGATCCAACAGTTAATGGTGGTAAAATGCAAATATTTTAAAATATGTTTATTTTATGTTTTACAATGAATACTTCAGCAAAGAAAATAATTGTAATTTCAAAATGCAATCCCTGAAGTTAATAAATATCCTTTATAATCAATTACACTAATCAATATCTAGAAATATACATAGACAAAGTTAGCTAGTGAATAAAATAAGTAGAATGACTAAATAAACTATCTATTTCAGGGATGAGGGATCATGCATAATCAGTTAAGTCACTCTGCCACTTTTAAAAATAATATGATTCACATTTGCTTCAATCACATAAACATTCATTGCAAGAGTTAGACGGCTAATTGAAAATAGTGATCTTTGTTAGCTTAAAAGAAAATTCAGTTTAATACAAAGACATTCAAATTGAAAATTTCAGGACCCTTGATCAGACGCTTTCAATGCATGTTGCTCTACTTTGTTATAGGCAAGATTCAAGTAAGGCTAAGACAGAAGACTGTTTCCACTGAAGACATGATCTAAGAATCGCTTTCTATATAGGCAAATTATGTTCTGTAGAAACTAGCTAGCTAGCCACCAAGACGTTACCAATAAAGGATTCCTTGTACTAGCAACTATCATGTTTAAAAGGTCTTAGCCAGAATTACAAAAACAAAACATTTAGAGTAATATTTATGAATACAAGCATAATTGGTTCCTTGCCTTCTACAAATAACCATCTTTAAAATGATAAAAGCAGGTTTCAACTGTGGTTCTTCTCTGGGGTGAGAAGGTGCAGATACACATGGGCGATCTACTGATTTACCTTCTGAAAGTACTCTTTGGAAGCAGCTGGATTTGGCTTGATCTGAAAATACAAAAGCTTAATTAGGTAATTGTGACTTTACCATAATAATATGGTAAATATGCCCAAAACTGAATGGCAATCCCCCAATTTTTAACCTAAAGTTCTTTAAACTTTTAAAGATTTCCTTTAAAACACAAAGATCAAAGTTTCATTAAGGCCTGCCTGTCTCTAGGCCAGGTGCGGTGGCTCACGCCTGTAATCCCAGCACTTTGGGAGGCTGAGGCAGGTGGATCACAAGGTCAGGAGATCAAGACCATCCTGGCTAACACAGTGAAACCCCGTCTCTAGTAAAATACAAAAAATGAGCCGGGCGTGGTGGCAGGCGCCTGTAGTCCCAGCTACTCAGGAGGCTGAGGCAGGAGAATGGCGTGTACCCGGGAGGCGGAGCTTGCAGTGAACCGAGATCCTGCCACTGCACTCCAGCCTGGGCAACAGAGCAAGACTCCGTCTCAAAAAAAAAAAAAAAGGTCTGCTTGTCTCTGATAATTGTTTCCTGGCTCCCCACCCCACCCCCTCTACCCCACAGCAGCTTCACCCATTTGTACATCATCCGCACGCTTGCTCCAAGGGTGGGCTCCCTTTTGTGGATACTTCAGGTCAATAGCTCTCGAGGCTGAGAGAACATGGACCTCACTGCTTTTGGGGGAAAAAACCTACCGTAGGAGAATCCGGTGTCCAGTCCGCTGGGCAGACTTCTCCATGGGTTTCTACATACTGGAACGCCTTCACCAAGCGGAGGGTTTCTTCCACGCTTCGGCCCACTGGGAGATCATTGACGCTCAAGTGCTTGATGACTCCATTGGGGTCAATTATGAAGAGACCTCTGCAAGATCATTTATCCTCATCAGTGCCTCAACAGTACCAGAACTAGAACAGTCTAACTTCTTCCCCTTTAGGTCTTTAATTCTTTTCATAAAATATTTATTAAGCATAATCATATGCTTAAAGGTAGGGTTTTCACTGTTGTGCAAAAAGTTTATCATCTCTTACTGATGACAGATGCTTTAACAAAGGCAGTACTGGACCAGGTCACCATAAAAAGCTTGCAGTATGGTCACATTTACAAACTCACACAGTGCCCTGAATGTTACAGTGTCGGAAAGTCACTGAACTAGACAGAGCGAAGACTATTAGTGACATGGCAAGCATTCTTTGAACTACTGTATCACATCTTGGCAAGAAATTCATAGGCAACTGGGAAGAGACAGATATGTATTTTATCTGGATTCAACAACTGTTTATTATGAATGAATTCTTGGGTAAATGGGGGGAAATCCCATGGGAAAAATCTTTGTAGAAAGAATGTACAGGCTGTAAGTCTACGCAAAACAGAAAACCATGCTAATCACTTTTCATCATGGAGCAGCATGTAATGAGATGAACCACGCTACCACAGTGGTCTGTGTTTATCTTCTGTGTTGGTGTTACTGGGACAGATGCAGATATGTTTAGCCCAGAAGTTTTTTTGGTTGTTTAGTTTAAATACAGCGTCTCACTATATTGCCCACACTGGAGTGCAGTGCTATTCTCAGGTGTGATCACAGCAGGCTGCAGCCTCGAACTTCTGGCTCAACTGATCCTCCCACCTCAGACTTCCAAGTAGCTGTGACTATAGGTGTGTGTCACTGTGTCCAGTTATTTAACCTACAGATTTTAACCGTCTGTCTTAAAAGGATGTGGAAATTCCAGGTATCAATCACTCATGGAAAAGGCAGATTAGAGAAAAGTCAGGGTAAAAAGGTGCTTCTCCCACCCTCGGTCTGGCACTAGGGGCCTGGGGTTTCAGGTGAAACTGTTCCCAGAGGGTGCAGCCAGCTGAAGTCCACCAATAGAAGCAGAGGCAGAGCTGGGACAGAGCAGGGCCCACAGACTCCTGAAAGTCTTATCTTATAAGCCAGACTCAGCTTCTCTCTCTTGTTAATCTCGATATTAAAACGGGTACGGAAGTTAACTGCAAAATTAGTGAGTTCTCATAGGGAAGGGGACCGTAGGAGAAAAATAGCCAGTACCCTTTCTCTGGCCATTGCCAATTCTGAAAGACCTAGGCATTCTTTTGATAATCTCTTTACAGTTAAACAAACAAAAAAAAAGACCCGCCAGGTGCGGTGGCTCATGACTGTAATCCCAGCACTTTGAGGGGCCAAGGCAGGCAGATCACAAAGTCAAGAGTTCGAGACCAGCCTAGCCAACATGGTGAAACTCATCTCTACTAAGAATACAAAAACTGGCCGGGTGTGGTGGCGCGTGCCTGTAATCCCAGCTACTCGGGACGTTGAGGCAGGAGAACTGCTTGAACCCAGGAGGCAGAGGTTGCAGTGAGCCGAGATCACGCCACTGCACTCCAGCCTGGGCGACAGAGCAAGACTCCATCTTAAAAAGAGAGAAAAAAAAAAGACAGAGAGAGAAAAGGCCCAAACTCTAAGATGCCACCCAGCACTAAAATCCAAGGTGTAACCCAAGAGGAGCAGGCCAGAGATCACCTACAAAAGAGGCAGGTGAGCTGGCTTTAAGCTGACCAGCCCCCAGCAAAACTGTGAGGCACAGCATATCAAAAGGAGGGCCCTCTCTTCCTTCCTGGAGGT